TCAACCTGACTTGGGTTTCAAATATAAGTCAAACTGAGTTCAGTTCAGTTCAAGACATGTAAAGACGGCAAAATAAAAATGTAAGTGCAGGGACTCTGGTTAGGTGAGATGAAATAGAGGCAGTCAGATCGATCCAAAATAACGATAATATTGATACTAAGTCAGTATAGGATCAATATTAGCGTGGTAAGATTGATACTTTGGGTTTTTTCCAGTTTCTGTTGATCGTATTAATATGTTATTATAAAGTATTTTGTACACCTTATGATGACACATCCACTTAAATAATAAAAACATTGGCAATCCGGCCTCTGTATTTATTTGAATTAATACCAAAATATGCAGTATTATAGAGGAAGTATAGTGGTTTGACATTTTTTTCACAAGACAAGAACCCTGAACATGTGGACTAAGCAACAATGGAATAGTTTAGATCAAAGTGTATTGATGTACATTGAATCTTTAGTATTTTCAGGGGTATTTCAAAGGCACCTTCGAACAGCTCAGATCCACAAATACTTGAGTCTGTCACAAAAAATGTTTACAATTGCCTATTTTAATAGTGCACACACCAAATATACCTTAATATACATTACTATGCACCATGTAAACATTAAACTAGCTAGTTGTTGTAAAGTGGAAAAATGTAAAAGGACAAAGGGGTATGATGCTTTTGCAAGGAACTGCAAATCTGATTTGAGGGGAGGATGTAAAATATTAGAACATTTTATTTAAAAAAAGCCAAAACATGAGAATATGTTTGCTAATGTGATGCCATTTCCATATCAAATACATGCAAAAAGCCTACATAATAATCCCCACTCAACCTGCTGGATAAATAGCAATTTTAACAAACAAGAAAGATTTTGGGTGTCTTATCTGCAGTTGTAATGTCAGATCAGAGCACTTACTAATGGGAGGAATTATACTGTGTATGAATTATTGACCTGCATAGCTGGATAAGGACTATGCCAAAGGATAGATAAAACGTATGACCCAATTTACAGAGAAAAGCTGAAACCTTTCTGTGGAGCTTCCCTCGCTCCCTGCAGCTCTGACTCTTTATGATCCAATGTAGTCCAAATGAATGAACATGAACATCGGCTCAGTATGGACAAGGCAGGTCCAAAACCATGTAGTGTTAGCACAAGGGTCAGGGTGTCACGTGAGCCAAAGTTTCTAAGCTAGCGCCAAGTGTTTGCCTGGTGTCAGATGTCTTTGTTTATTGCAATAATAACTTTAGACCATGCTCTGTGACTTCCTTATTTCTTCTGTTTGTAGTGGCCAGGGTTCACCCTGCAGAGGTACAATCTAACAAATTCTGCCTCAACTGTACCTATACTGATACATCTGACTCTGGAGGAAGATGTTTTATGGTATGCTCGTTTGCAAATGCTATGAGTTCTGTGACACTTTTAAATTTGACAGGAAATGCATGAGGAGCTGAACTGTTTCCACAGGTCATTTCTTCCTAGATCTTGTCGATGACGTATACCAACACACCTGCTTTCACTTTTATGTAACTACCTCCACCTAGTGGTGACTGGGAGCAAAATACTCAATAGGAAAACAACACCTATATATGTGCACGTTTTTTTTTAACCATCAGTATAATTTTACAGTTTCTGTAATGGCACAGATTGCTGTTTTGCTTGTTTTTAGAGAAGTAAGGACTGAAACAATGCCGGTGTTTTGCCTTAGACTCTCCAAATGAAGAAGTCTACCTTTGGGAATAACTAAAACTAGCAATGAAAAAAAAAATCTTTGACAGGGAATTGAAGATTGGTCGTTATAGAGCCCTGCTCTGGTTTTTGTGATAAAAAGTCAAAACAAATGTGAGCATTCATTATCCTGAAAGTATGTTTCTATTTATTTTTTCCCACTTACATTCCCCCCCCCCCCGGTTACTGAAGTGAGGGAAACACACCTTCTTCATTTATGCATTTCCAGACATGCCCCGCATGGAAAGCAGACTGGCATTACAAAGGAGACGACGTAAACACCGAATGCCTGTCTCTGTGTATGTTCTGACTGTCATGGAGATGTTTACCCTGTGTGCTGGAACACGGTCTGAAGAATGGGCGTTCATAGTACGTCCTAATGTCATGGCATGCTTACATCACTCTATGAGGTGTCACTACTGACAAAGGCCGCTTTGACACTGAGTCACTTGGACAAAAGCAATAGTTCCTTGAAGTTACCCTGCGGATTCAAGTACAGCTTTCTACCAAAGTATTTAAGAAGCTGCTAAGAAGTCCTTGTGGTTCTTTTGATGGAAGGTAATTTTCTATGAGCAAACTTAAACATGCACACACGAAAATAAATGTGATCTGACAAGAAAATACCAAAGAGCAACAAAAGTTTGGTTGCTCCGGGACTTCAGATGCTGTAAGAACTTACATGTTGTTGGCGGATTCAAGGCATACTTTATGGTATTTACGGAGGAGCAAGCTGGAATCTTGTGAAGCACCACAAATTTGGAGCAAACTTCCAGAAAACTGCAAAACAGCCAAAAGACTGAGTTTATTCAAATCGAGGCTAAAACCCCATATGTTGAGGTCTGCCGTTGATAAGTGTTAAGTGGAACACCTCATGTGTATTTGCTTGATAATTTTAATGATGGCGTCTGACAAAATGTAATGTTTCATTGTTTGTTTCATAATTAGTGAACCTATGATATTTTTACGATGTAGAAGATCATAAAACTGCCTCATTGCTGAAAGGTGCTACACAAATAAACGTGACTTGACAGCAACTCTCTTTGGCAATACGTCTCTGAGTTTAGGAGAAACCGCAGTACCTCGTGAAGGCGTGCATACCACATGGACCCGTTCATATTTTCTCAAGTTACAACAACAAAATTCATTGTATTTTCTTTATGAATTTTATGTGATAGATCGAAAAATTAAATACATGTTTCAAGATTTTAATTGCAAACATGAAACTACAAACTGACGTGTACTTTTATACAGTCCTCATTGCTCTAAAAACAATGTATCCACTCCATACTGCATTAATTGAGATTAACGCTTTCGTTGAATAAGTCTGAAATTAATTAAATACGAACCAAAAGACAACTGCTTAAGTGTTTTTTTTCCCCCCGCCCATCTTGATACAGTTGCTCATCAGAACAAAGCAGCTGAATCTGTACAAGAACATTCAGAGGGAATGTTACGTTGGCTAGGTGCCTCGCTTGATTATACGATTTAAAACCTGAAGGATCGAAGTTCTAAAAAAAAAAAAATTCCCACACACTCGGCAATGTCTGACATTGCTTTAATGAAGGGCCTGACACACGCTGAGGCTCGCACAGCAGGTTGCAAAGCTCCACTACGAGCTGCTGCTACAGGAGCTCAACTGTATGAAAAAAAAAAAAAAAATCATTAGCTCAAGGCAATGTTAATTTACAATCGTGAGTAAGACACCAAAACATTCAACGTTTAATGAGGCGGGAGCACGTCAAACCGAAAAAACAAAAAAGTAATTTCAGTCGTTGCTTTTAATTGTGACATGTCTTATCTTGTTTATCTTCTACACCTGAAACTGTTTGCAGCTTTGACAATATTTCAATGTTAATAGATGAGGTTTGCTCTTATTTACAAAATGTAATTATCAAGCGGAGAAGCAAATGTATACATTTAGAGCCAAGTTTCCTTCTGCCTGGTCTTCTTTTAAGGATTCAGTACAGTTTTGGAAAAAAAAAATCCTTAACTGCCTTGTTTGTGGTTTTTGGGGCGCATGTTACACACTGTGAATGCTGAGAGTTGATGTTAACTGTTTCGGCCCTCAGGTATTATAGGTTAACAAATGCAACTAGATGCCGTTCCACATACTTGTTCTGAAATAAACAGATATTTACAGCGTGTCGAAGGAGTATTTCACGTTTCGCTATGATACAACCACAAATTTGGGTCTCATTCCACCTTCTTCCAGGTGATTAGTATGTCCTCTATAGGGCCTGGTTGCTGCTAATTATTAACCAGAGGAGCATGTGGATGGAAAAACAAGTATCCAAGTGAGTCATTTGGTGTAGCATCTGACTATGAATATTTTATAAGGCATCTTCCATCAATATTAAGCGCATATGTATGGATTTCAATGTGGTCTGTTTCGAGAGGAGAAAAGCTTTGACCCCGACGTGATTTGAACACGCAACCTTCTGATCTGGAGTCAGACGCGCTACCGTTGCGCCACGAGGACACTACCGCCTATCCGCCAGAAAGTGGATCATACAACCAGAGTAGAGGTCATTTTGATGTCCATTTTTTAAATATAAATAAGATATATACCGTTAAATTTAGCCATGATATCCCCTTCAAAGACGAACAATTTCCGAAGAAAATCAGTCCTGAACAGGGGACTTGATATTTTATTTTTCTTTAAGCTTACGTCAGCACCAAGGACAGCTGCCTCTTAAAGCTTTTCTTTCACACGCTCACGCGCACTCTGCGCGAGACGACAAATAAATGCACGCTAATCACAATGAAACGCGGACGTCAAGTGCGTAAAAAATTGCTTATATTAATGTACTTGTCAGAGTATTTAAAATCCACTTAAGTTTATATAATTTCTGACTTAAAATATGAATGACAAACATGAATGAAAACAGTTTTTTCTATAATTTTAAAATTTAAATAATTTTGTTAAAATTATTTTAACATTGATACAAATAGTGCTGTTAAACCAGCATGGCGACATTTTTTCCAAATATTATAAGGTAAAAAGCTCTCACTAAATACTTTACAACATAAAATCATTATTTAAAAACTTTAATTACAGTCGTACTTCGAGTTTATGTTTTTTTTTTTTTTTAATTATAAGGGAGTAAGGATGAACTGGCAGGATATTAAACCTACAGCGGCTGTCCAGTAGGTGGCAGTATACTAAATAGAGCCTTTTATTACTCCGAATAAAAACGGAAAGAGGCTCGTTATTAAGGTAAAGTAAATCAGATACACACCAGCCAATAGGAAAAAGATGAAAAACTCAACTACATTCTCACAAAAACTACGCAAGAATTTAATTTTAGCACAGCAGCATAGACTCGTCAACCACATTCTGTGAGAATTCTCTAATGGACATATCACAGGTATTTACATAAAAGCTTTCAGTGTTTTTATTTATTTATTTGACAAGCAGCTGTCATGTTTGTCACTCATTTCTCTTTACATGTGAAAGATAACAATAGTCAGTATACCAGTTTTATTACAATATTTTTTTCCTAAGTTCAGTACATTTAACAAAGAAAGAAAAAAAAAAACACACAACTGCAAACGTGAGAAAAGAAAGCATGTTTAATATGTCGCCATCAATATGTCTTTTTGTCCCCCTCTGTACTCTTTCAACAAATAGGCTCGTCTGATCTTTCTTTTCCAACAGCTAGAGAGGCATGTTCTTTTTGACGTTGGACGCACAGGTGCGTGGCACTGGTGATGCTGTAAACAGTTTAAAAACCAGAAAGTGGGAAAGGTTCGAATGGGCGAGGGCAGGAAAGGGGCCTATCAGAGTGGTGGTGTGAGCCGGCTGTCTGGCGCTGACATGATGTCATCTTTTTTTTTTTTTTCTTTTTTTTTTTTTTTTGGAGATGGAGGCACAAAGTCCTGCTTTTGATCGTCGCAGACAGCCTGCAGTTCAAAATTCTAAATTAGATGAATGAGTCTGTTGCTGTGGTTTTTGTTCATAATTTGAAACCTGTCTCATAGGTGAGTCTCTGTTTGGAGATGCTCCCTTCGTCGTCGACTCCCGGGGCCTACGCGACGTAGCTGTACTCGTCGGCCGACGTCTGACTCCGCTCGATGTACTGTTTGTCGATGAGCACCTCGATGCACTTCTTGATCATGCTGATACTGGGGTTGAACCTGGCTTTGGACTGATTGATTACCTGAACACGTTTAAAAAAACAAAAATTGAATTAAATGAAAAATAAATAAATAAAAATACCTTAGGCATTGGGTGATTTTTAGACTGTCACTGTTCTCTATGTGTTCCTTGGACTTCGGGTTGCTCTTTGTTCCCTAATATTCTCTAACAAACCTCCAAGACCTTCAGAGAACAGCTGGATTTATACTAAGAATGAGATGATGTATCAGATTAATCACTGCAAATTGATTGCTAATCTAGTAATCGACTAATCGTTGACTAGGTGTATACAAACTCCAAAAAAACAAAAGAAAACAGAAGTCAATTGCTGAAAGAACAAAATACCCAAAGCAGTGATTAAGTCAAAAGTGTAGAATACATTTTGCATTTATGATAAAAACATTTGACTATAAATATGTTTTACCCAAAACTGTTCAATCTGAACCACTTTTAACTTCACCTGGTTTAAATTTGCTAAAGAAATGCTAAGCTATTGCATTTTAGGCAAGAAAATGTTTTTCTTAGTTTAAAAAGGACTTATTTATTTATATTCATCTTTTACAAGTATCTTTAACATTGTACAAAAAAGGTTTAAGAGGTTAAATGAAAAATGTGTAGAATTTGCCAATTTATTTTATTCGGTTAATCGCCAGAATAATTTATTACTGAAATAATTATTTGTTGAAGCCCTAACTTATAATGAAATTAAATTACATACAGATGGATGCCATGTTTAAATGTATGTTTATTCACATTTCACTTTTATTGTTTTAAGGAATCTGGTTGAGACAACTCATCAATTATACTTAGGCAAGTATGCTTTTAATATATTAGAACTAAATTTAATTCAACTCAAAAATACTTAAGTTATTCCAAATAATAATTAAATGTATCATATCACTCAAATATCGTCAAAACAATCATTGCGGATGATGATGCTGCAGGCGGGAAGGATCTCCAGTAGCAGTCAATCTCGCAATGAATCTGAAGAGGCCTCTGACTGACTGGAGTCGCACATCATAAGTATTTGAAAAAAAAGAAGAGAAAAAAAATCCTTCCAGCGACACAGCATCCAAAACCAAACATGCAATGCCTCAATCAAAAGAGCTACAAAGATCAAATGAAAAGAACAATTCAGAACTAGTGTAATAGAGCTACTGCAACAATGAGCGAACAATTCCAGATTGCTCCTGATCGCTTTGTTTTGTGGCACATACGTTTAACCTTTAGCCCTGCTAATGTTCATAAATCCTACCAGTTCAAATTGAAAAGGTCTTGACCCTATCCACCCACTCACCTCCTGGATGAGGGCGTTGTGTCGGAGGACCTTCCGCGCTTTCATGATCCTCACTATAGCAGCTTGTAAATACATTTTGCGGTCCTCGTCAACGGCGCTTCTCGTCTGCTCCATCTCCTGAACGTTACAGACACGCAGCGGTTCAGTTGGTTATCACTTGGACCGTTTCTCACCAGGCTGGCATCCGGCAGTAGGCTTACCTGCGGCGTGTCTTTCTGCATCGACGTCGTAATCTTGAACTTTGTTCGTTTACTGGTGAAACTCATATTTAGTGAAAACGTCGACTCTGTTTCAATCTCCTCCTGCGCACAGGGAAAAACGTACACAACTTTCACTGTCTGAAACCAAAACCTGAGTGTACCTCACCGCCCATCTCAGGGTAAAAGGCAACTTTAGCCAAACATCGTTTCGCGTCAGACCTTCTGCAAGTCGTGGTTTAGCATCTTGACGTCCATCAGGGACTTGATGGTCTTCTGCAGCTCCTTCTCGTTCATCTGGGTGCCGTCCTGCAGCTCCTTGTACGTTACCGTCTGGCTGTTGTTGAAGGCCAGAAGCACAGCCATCTGGTATGTGGTTACCATGGCAACGTAGGGTTTGGACAAGTAGTTCATTTTGACTTCGCCTGCAAGAAGGGGTAACAAGCATAACACCAAAGTTCAGAAACTCTCGTCTCATTACTTTTAAATACATTCCAGTGACGTTTGCACAAGATTGTTGAGAAGTGTTCGGCTATAGCTACAAAGTTTCTGTAGGTTTAATCAATGTAAATTTAAGATTTTTAGAGACTGTTATGAATGATATGCAAGACCTGTATCGCCACAGAAATGTGCAAACTTCATCTAGCCGACTGGTGAGAAATTTGCAATTGCCCATCATAAATGCAAAAAAGCTAGCTAGCATGCAAAACGTATGTTAGCAAAGTTAGAAGTAGCTTCAATTGTCTTGAGTGCGATTAAAACTTTTGCCTAACAACAAAGCCTCTCCCCCCCCAAAAAAAAATACATTGAATTGAATATATGAGATTAAATAATCCAGACAAGGCAAAGTTTAAAACCTGTGATTGACATGTCAAAGTCTAGCTTACTTTTTAAAAATGAATTTAAGGCCTTAATTTAAAGATGTGCGGACACTCCGCAACAAGAGCTTTTAAAAGGTTTGAATAACATTATGTTTTTTCCTTTAAGTTTAACCAGAACATGCTGAATTGTTTTACTAAATCTGCCATCGTTTTCTGTTACCTGTGCAGAGATAGTGCAGCCAAGTCAACTTCCTCCCACTGAAGTGCTGATTATAGAACAATTCAAACTGCAAAACAGGGTGAAAACGGACAGAGATGATCAGAAGGCGCTTCTTCCTCTACCAGTACAAATCTCAGCAGCTCCACTCACCATCTGAACGCTCTTCTCTAGTTCTTGAGGGATGGCGAATGTTGACGAGGGGACGTGTGTGAGAGGCCAAGCGCCGGCCTGCAAAAAAAAGTGGACGATATGCCAAAAGTGTCAGACAAACTAATATTTCTGGCATCTTTTCAACCGCCTGTTTCTGGCTTCCTCATGGCAGACCTGTAATACGTAGATCTGGAAACTGATCCCCAGGTCCACCACCGTCTCCTGCGTCTTGATAAAATTGTTGAACTTGTTGTTGAGGTCGGCGCTCACGCTCATGTCTGTGTACATTCTGTGAAGTTTGCTGGTGAACTCGTAGCCACAAGCTTGCTGCAAAATGGACAGGAATGAGGTCATAGGTCATTATAATAAGGTAATCCTCATAATTACAATGACCTCTAATGACATTACACAAGAGTCTACTGCTGAAGAAAAAAATTATGAAAAAGCTTGTTTAAACACTCAAGAAATATGTTTATTTACCTTTAGTTTGTTGATCATAGCTTCTTCTGAATCCATTGACAATGATAAACCGTGTATTAACCGCTTTGCTAACATTCTGGCATAAAACTGAAAAAACAAACAAACAAAAAAAAACAAGCCCAGATGTGATGAGTTAACTTTTTGGATCTATTTAAAGCTTCAAACTGAGTCACAGTTGGGTATACTGTAGCAGAAAAAGCTTCCTGTACCTTTTGAAAGATGTCTTTGTCGTCTATGTACTTGAACACTGTGATGAAACTGGTCAGCTTGTCCTCCACCTCGTTTTCCGTCATCCCCTTTGCAGATTTCTTCAGCAGATTGTCGCAGTATTTTGCCAGCTGGACAGAGATAGCAGCAGGAAGGGGGTGACTCGGTCAAGGCTCTGCGTGTACAACTCGACATGAGAATTCCCGTGTATGTGTATGTGTGTACTCACAAGTTCTGGGGCTTTGCAGATGGACTTCGGCTCCCTAAAGTTCACCACAGACGTCAAAGCCTACAAGAGGGAAAGAGACGGCGAGATAGATTAAATTGGCAGAAAGGGAATTATAATCAAGGCAAAAGAAAAAAAACAACCTGCTGAAAGATCACTCTGCAATGAGGCAACAGCTATTTGTGGTTGTACCTTATCAAGCGCGCTCATGAAGTGTTGATCTCCGTTGAGGACTGTGTTAATGAGCTGAACAAATTTACTGTGAACCTCAAGCACGGACTCCACAAAAAGGGTCGGCATCTAAAGGGAGATGGAGCAGAAATAGTTCCCATTAAAAGGCTAAAAATCAAAAACACACAACAAATTTTGGCAAGGCACTTTGAAAATCCGGTGAAAAAAACCCCAAAACCCATAACGTGTGGCGAGGTACTAACATTTTCCTGAGAGAGATTACTGGTGCCTCTGATGCCCTCGTTGTGGATGTGGACCTGCAGCTCCTGGATCATGTGAGGCAACCCGTTTGACACGGCCCGCAACAGGGTGTACGTGTTGGCCATGTCTGAACAGAACAAACCATTTCGCAGGTCGCTGTTAGCTGAGGTTGCGGCGTGCGAACGGCGTCGGGACAGTAAAGAAAAAAAAAAAAAAAAAAAGCAAAAAGCGTACTGACCGTCTCTCTTCTCTTGCCGGATGATGTTCTGGCACTCCCCGTGTAGGAACTGCAGGTGATCGGCCACCATCCTCTGCTGGCATTCATGAATGACTTTGGCGTAGGAGCTGGGGTGCAGGTACTTCCGACATCGGACTTCTTCGTCTTTCAATCGGCCCAGGACCTGCGAGATGAGAGCGACGCAGAGACATGCAAAAAGTTTTCCCATCACTTTATAGGGAAAGAAGAGTTTTTCGTCTCATAGCAGGAAGTTGTTTTAGATGAGTCAACAACATTGAGCTTGTCCGGACAGGAATGTTGGTTTCACTCCACACTGACTGATTGGACAGGAAGATTGAAATGATTAATCGTATTAATTGTGATTAATCGACTGTTGAAGTAATTGTCAACTAATTTAGTAATTAATTAAACGTTGACTGGAGTATACAGACTAAAAAAAGAAAAGGCCCAATTGCTGAAGGAGCAACATATCCAGAGCAGTAATTAAGCCAAAACTGTACAAGATATATATACATTTTGCATTTAAGATAAATACACCTTTGTATGTATATGTTTTACCTAAAACTCCCCAAGTGACATCATTTAAGCTTCACGCGGTTAAAATTCAGGAAAGGAATGCTATGTTGTTGCATTTTAGTCAATAAAATGTTTATTTCCTGTGCTGCTCATTCTTTTACTGTATTTTTAATATTCTATAAAAAGGCTGATTAAATGAAAATTTGTAGAATGTGCGAGCTTTTCCTAGCCGATTAATCATCAGAGTGATTGATTACTACAATACTCGTTAGTTGCGGTCCTACCGTCATCCACTACAAAAGGATCACCTTGGTAAGAAATAGGACTGAGGATCAAGGGAACAGAATCAAAGCCAGAGGTCAACACAATATCAGATCCATGATATCACTTTTAGTGGCTTAATGTTTGAGCTAATACTCAAGATTATAAACAGCCTGGTTGAACATTAAGAAACTATGTGAACTCAAACTCGACCGCTGAAAGTCGCCTCGCGTTCTCTCTCTCTGGCGACTTACCTTCTCCATATACTGTGAGCAGTTGGATTCCTGGAGAAGATTGGAGGCTTCCTGTTTGTAATACTCTCCTGTTTTTATCAGAAAAGGCCCTTCAAAGATTTCTTGATAAAACTGCAACACAGAAATAAAAAATAAATAAATAAATACAAAAATACAACTGAGAAAGATATTCTTTTGTTGACATTAACAGAATCGTACAGTGGGGGAAACAAGTATAGTCAACAATATATGTGAATGTCTTTCCTCAGTAAATAGACTTTGAATGACTGACATGAAATTTACTTCTGATGTCAGTAATTTACACATAAACAGCAATAAAGTAAATCTGTCCAACAATTGAGAATATGTATGATAAAGTGCAGTACATGGGGAATATTTCAGGTTCCATGGAAACAAGTGATCCACATAATGACCTGTATATAGATTTTTTTCATAATTTGGTCCAGTGACTTAAACTCAAGAGCAACTCATGTGTTTTTACCCTTTTTTTAACTCATTTTTTTCATGAACAAAAAAAATAAATGAGTTCATGACACATTTTTTGACTTATGCAACTTATATTCCGGTGCGACTTATTGTCTAGAAAATATGGTAAATGAAATACTGAGAAAATAAAATAAAAATCTCTTCTGGTCAAGGTGGGACCACAACTAAACACCATGTTCGATGAATAAATTAAGACAACACAAGAGTAAATTTTTGAGGGGGGGCAGGGAGGGGGCAGCATGACTTGATTCCATCTTTCCAGATATGATACCAGGAAACTTCAAATAATTAACAAAAGGATGATGAGATAAGGAAACTGGAGATAAAACAAGGACGAATGTTTTAGCAAAAATAATTATCTCAAGTACAGGAATGAAACTGGAAGCTTAAATCTGGATGTATTTTATGGAATAGTTCCAGTTCTGATTTACATATGCATTTCTTGGATTGTTACCAATATCTGTTGTGAATTCCATGTTCGCAGCACAAACCTAGCAATAACATTTTGGAGTGTTCAGTGCTCATTTCCGTCGCTGTGCAAGCAATTTAGCAGACCTCGCATTTTTAGCTCTGGATTTTGACCCTTGTGTCTTTTAATGGCACCATATACATAAAAAGAAAAAAAAAACAACTACAAAAAAAAAAAAAAAAGCTTGAATACAGTGCAGACTGGGAGAACGGGTGTTTGCTTGTCGGCTCACCTTTAGCGGAAACTTCTTCTTGTACTGTTCAACATGAACAAAAGAGTTGATGACCCCGTGGATTACCTTCTGGTTGGGGTTTTCACCGCAGCGATCACTGCAAGACAGCACAAGTTGAAGACCTGATCATGACGTGCGTTTCCAGACAGGGGCGAAGAAAGATTTGTTTATACAACTCATGCGAAAGTGTTGCAAACAAGAGCAGACATGTTTTTTATGGATTGTATAACAAACAGTCGCTGAAAGGCACTCAAAACTCATTGCTTTTAATGTAAACTAAAAGTTCTATACAGAATCTACTATAATCACATCAGTACGTTTGAGAACCAAAGTTAAAAATATATATATATTTTTTGATAGCTCACTTTTTTATTTCATTCAACAACATCCGGATGAGGACGGCCTGCAGGGGTTCAATCATCAGCTTCTTCCACATATCTAGAGCCAGCTGCAATAACAAGACAGCATTTTGTCACTGTATTATTGTCTCACAACAGAAATAACAAATAATTTCATGTGATCTCAATCAAGTGGGAGACACAAAAGAGACCAAAAAACAATAAGCTACATGTGGAAGAATGGGTGAGTACCTCTCCGATCTCCATCAGCGGCTCATTCATGTCCACTCCCCCATAGCCGTACTGCAGGTCTGCTTCTGTTAGCTTGTTCTTCTTGATAAACTGTGTGTTCAGATACCTGGACAGAATCGGGACAGGCGTAAAATGATAAAATTAGTCAACTAATTTAATCAGTGACTGCATGTTTTAGTTTTGTTTTTCTTCCGCCAGTGAAAACCAGAAATAATAGTCTTGTTTTGGTAGCTGCTTTCCAACGGATTCCGGTAAACTCAGAGACCAGCAGGGTGTTTGTGTTACTGGTTTCAAGGTATAACAAGGTGTGAAAGGTTAAGGTTAAATTCTGCTGTTTGACATGGACAAGCATTAAGTTTCTAAGGGTTGCAGTTTTCTAACCGATCATCGATGTTGCCGATTCCGATTTTTTATTTTTGTCTGAAAAGTCGTTAAAATACGACAAAGTTAAATTGGCAAAAGTGGAGTGACTGTTGTTAACCGGACTTTTATTGTGATATTTTGTTGTACATTTGTAATACCGATAAAGATTATGATTTAAAAAAAATCTTATTTTTTTTAGGCAAATGTATGGCTGTAACTCCATGGCACAGCATTCATGGCTGCACAAACACAAATATTAGTCTTGAAAAACATTCCCATATGAAATGGACGTCTCTTACTTGAAATGTGTGGTTATTAATTCTAAACTGCACACGGTAACCATATTTAATCTGATTTTCAAATTTACCCAGCCACCAAGCTGATCCCCATTGGCTGAACATGGCCACTTTAGGTTGCATGTTTTCACAGATGTGCTATCTGCCTCTGTTATGCTAAATATCAAAGCCATTTAGTATGATGTCAAAAAAAAAAAATAGCACACAAAAATTATTTTTTTTCTAAAATACAGACTGATCCCCACACAGAGAGCCACTTATAGTGTTATGAGGTAACACTATAAATAACAGGCATTTAGATACACAGTCACTCTTGTGAAGAAACAAATAAAAATAGACCTAAAAGTTCTTTAAAAAGAAACACCGACTCGAATCGAGACGCTTAATGTGTCTGCTGGAGTCTGGCGCAGGTCGTTTTCAAAGCAATAAAAAAAATAACTAATAAATAAAAACCATAATGGGAGAATTACTGTTGCTTGTGAAAAGAGAGAAGAGACACCCTCTGCATTTAGGCAGCTGAGACGATAATCTGTGCTGGTAAAAAAAAAACCCTCCATAAACATGTGAAAAGACTAAATTAAGTTGATAAATGATTAAGGACAACAAAGTGATAAGCTGACTCTGTTTATGATGAAAAGGTGACACTAACAGGAGTGGAGAACTCAAAACACTGGGTCTTTTTCCAGTAAATGAACACATCACGTTTGGAGGTTGCAGTAACAACAGTCACCTTCAATGTGGAACTTGTTACTTATAGGAAATAGCTCAAAGTCTCACTTTCAATATCAGTAAAGTGGTTAAAATAGCTGGATTTGGAAATATTGGCAAACTTTTAGGAAATCTCAGAGAGTTGGAGTGAAGAGCTTCATCCTCTAGAGTAGGGGTGACCAAAGTGCGGCCTCAGGAGCCACTTTTGGACTTGGGAATCATTTTGCGTGGTCCCTGAGTGCAGCTCAAAAAATTATAAAAAAAATAAAATGGCTCTGTGGCAAATGTTAGCTGATACAGAAGGATGGTTTGTTTTTCCGAGATGACTTTCAATGAAAAGTAAACTGTTGTCAGATAGATAATTCATATCTTTCTTTTTACAGGTCAAGTTTGTTTCGCTTTCATTTTTAAATCCCACAAACATCCAGCGCTTTTTTTTTCTTTTTCTTTTTTTAACTGGGAAAACAAACCTAATCTTTAAATTTGGCCAAATAGAAGCTAAAATGTTTTCTAGCAACAATTTTCTGATTAGCAAATCTCTAAAGACAATGCAACGTCACACATTTTCCTTTAAAAATAAACTGGACCGTTAAAAGTTCCGTAAACAGCAGCATCTCACCTGTACAAGCAGTCCATGTAGTCAGCTCCTTTGCTGTACTCTTCCCAGTACCTGTGGTACATAACTAAAACCTTTTCCTCTGATTCCAGGACTTTCTAAAAAAGAAAAACACACACACACAAATGAGTACAGAAGGTGTTCAACAGGAGATGAACAGGTCAGCAGCGGAGGGTTCGACGAGTTCTTACCTTGTACAACTGCCTGACATGGTTCTCGAGGAAAACCTTGGTTTCTGTGTATAATCGTTCACCCAAAGGCTCTGGGTATGCAACGCACAAGGCATAAATATCACTGGAGTTGGGAGTTCAGGATGAACACGTCGTTAATTGCACAAGTAACAATCCTGACTGTGATTATTTACGACAATTATGTTATATAGTTTTGTTACCAAGCAGGCAATGGTCAGCGTGAGATGACCTTGACTGCCGTATTTATGCAAAACCGTCCAACGCAAATGCGTCACATGATTAAATTTGTCTGATTTAGAACAATTGCTGAAGCTTTTCAAACTATATGTGAATAAAATTCAGCCAATTAAATTCATATTCAGCCTCTTTATTAACCTTCAAGTTGCATTATGAAACACTGCGATATAAAGGATACGAGAATCTATCATTCCACGTGGCTCTTTCCACGTAGTCGAGCATCACAACAGCCTTGATTGTAGTTAGTAGCTTGTTCCATGTCTCGTCAAAATCCACCACCCGCGGCTTCAAAGACATGGTACAGCTTCTATTTCACCCTAAAAAAAAAAAAAAATTATAGCAAAATAAAACTAGATGAAAATGCATTTGGGGTGGTGGGAATAAAAAAAGATTATCTAACCCTTGACCTTGCAATTGATCGGACCATTATAAGTCCTATGACAATGCCTAAGACTGGCAAGTTAGAATGTTGTGTTAGAACATAGTGTCAAGGAAAAGAAAGTCGATTATGACAGTATAATTGACATTAAATACATGGTAATAGGAAACCAAATGCACGTTTAAGACTGAGAATAGGGCTAAAAAAATACTACGTTATTGAAAACTACACAAAACAAAACTAATACTGAAACTAAATCAGTGTAAGAAGATCTAAGTTTGCCTTGCAACCTCTGTTCAAATCGTCACTATCGAAGGTCCGGGTTACCGAATGCATCTAAACATTCATCACCGTGAAGTACCCAACATTACCACAGCAACAACGCCCCCCAAGAACACAATGAACACTCAGGTGTGTCCCAGAAAACTCATTACATCGTGTACCAAAACGGAGGCCCCGTGTTGCTGTAACAGTTCATTTAAAGACAAAAATAACACTGCAGCGTCATGACAGCTTTTGGTTCTAGCTACTAATTGGACACAATTACTCGTCTCGGATAAATACGCGTTACTGTCGCTTGATAAACACCCTTCTCACCATTACTATAAACGTAGCTAAGTAAAGGTTGCTGGCTAGCGGAATGACAATCCCAAAATAGGCTGGCGAGCTAAAAGGCTAACTAGCTTCTCGCTAACATGCTACTTCTTCTTCCTGCTCCGTGCCATTCAATTTCTAGGGAGCAGCTAGCTACTAGCCGGCTAGTAGCTAGCTAACGGTAGCTTGGCTATCACTAGCAAATTGTCATCTTAGCAGTTTCAGCACAGTCACTCTGACAGCTCAGCAAAACATGTCGCTACAGTCACACAGAACAGCACGCTCAGGTCAAGAAAAGTCGTGAAAGTGGTACCAACCTCTGTACAGTAGTTACTTTTATAAAAGTCAGCTTTCTCCGCTGTCACGGACTTGATTTCGCTTTACAAGTCTTCCCTAGTACCTCCAGGTTCAAACCATTTCGACTAGTTGGGAATACGCTGTAAAGAAACAAGTAAATGTACTTAAAATGCTATTTTATGATTTTCAACGTGCGAGTTTGCTTACAAATTAGACTTAGACTTAGGAACAGTTTTTCAGTTGCTTATACTAATGAGAAATAGACTGACCGAGTCAGTCCCAAATAACAAAAACACCCTCGTTTGAAATGGTATCGCCCAAAACTACGGGAACCTCTTTGGACGCGTTTCATAAAACTTTTATTTTCAGTATAATAGAAAAAGAAGAAAAAATAAAAAATATAATACTAGTACTACTACTACTACTACTACTACTACTACTACTAATAATAATAATAATAATAATAATAATAATAATAATAATAATAATGAGTAATTTATAAAATAAAAATTACTTTTGCTTTTAATATTCTATTATCAATTATATCAATTATGTTCATGTATCTTATTCTTCTTCTTCTCCTTCTTCTTCCTATTATTATTATTATTATTATTATTATTATTATTATTATTATTATTATTATTATTATTATAGTCATTGTTATTATTGTTGTTTTTCAGTACAAATAGACAACATGTCGTTAACTGTATGTTTCTTGCTCATGGGCTTTGAATATGGAACGAACAAAACCAAAACAAGAAAACGGTCAAACAGTTACTTGGCAACAGAATAAAGCACCAATTAAATTTTGCGAAAACAGACTGATTAAAAAAAAAATAACTTCAACTGAGGCCACGCTCCGGCGAAATTAAGCAGTCTTTATCGTGAGTCATGCCATTTACTGTTGTTATTAAAAGTAAGCAATGTTAGGCAACGTTAGTACATTAGCTCTTTACTATTAACTTTACAGTGTAACTTTAAACTTTAGCTTGCTGGTGTTTGCAAAACGTAGCGCCTCAGGCAGTAATGCTAGTTGAAACATCAGTTAGCTTTGTGCTATCCTGACCATACTTGTGAATTTTCCTGAAGTACCGAGGCCGGCACCCTGCATGTTTTAGTTCTCTCCCTGGTTTTACACACCTGCATCAAATGATAGCTCGTTAGAAGGCCTAAGGAGAACACTGACTTGCTGAGGAAATTTTTACTCCCACAAGGAAGAGAACTAAACCATGCAGGGTGCCGGCCCTCGAGGACCGACTTTGGACACCCCATCTTACCAAAGCCACCAGAGGGTGACACTTAAGACATTTTTATCCCCAAATGAGCCTTTTGTTGTAATAGCCATACTTCTCTTAAACGTGCAGTTTAATATAAGACAGGTTCCTCTTTCCGATAAATTGCCTTAATTTTAAATAGCAGAAGTGTTAAATTGTAAATTCATCACCAAGAAATTACTTGGTAACAATCCAAAAGCACGTGGCAAACATTTGCCATTGATTAAACAAATAGCTATGTGAGCAAGCATTTCATTAGTCATGGGTTATTAGATTGATAGACATCAAACACAAAAGTGAGCACACCATTCAGACTTTTGTAAATATTTACTTTCATAATACAGCACTGAAGATATGACACTTTGATGCAATGCATCAAATCAGTTTACAGCTTATGTAACTGTAAAACCAAAATAACTCAACTCACCTGCTCCCCATTCACACCTGATACCATATAACGCCAACAATACCATATAACACCAATTAAACATTTTCCCTCTAGGGAGGGAATATGTTTAATTGGGCACAATTTGGACATCTTTCCATTGTGAGGTACGCCCTTTTGACTCCAGCAATGTAGACATTAATAGCTGTGTGTTGTAGAGATTTAAAAAGATATCCTGCATAAAGATGCAGAACCAAAGACAAACTGTTTAACATTCTGTTCCACTGGGTTTCCCTTGCAGGCTTACTCAGTCACAATGTACCAAATTAAGTCAGAGGGAAACGATCAGGTTTTCCAGCGAACTATGGAAAACCAGCACAGTAAGTATGTCCGAAAACATGATCACGAACAGTTATTATATTATGATGTTATATGTCTGAGCCTTTACCCATTCTGCTTGTTCCAGCTGGACTTTTTCAGGCACCTCCTGTCGGTTACGTTCTTAACACAATGCCAAACCTGCCGTCCTCTTCCATGGGCTGCGTCCAGATGCCGCAGCCTCCACCTGCCACTGCATTTCCGCTTTATGAGGAGATGTACAACTGTATGCAGCAGCGTTGGATGTATTCACTATCAGGTAACACCTCGTCTTCATCTAGACTACTCCATAGAATGATCCAAAATATCTAAGATCCACGCAAGGGACGTTGTGTCGAAGCCGTGTCTTGTAACAACTGTGTAATATTTTATAAATTTCAAACTAAATCACCACGAGATGAAACCGGTTGCAATAATCTCAGCTGAGAAATACAACTGTCCTGTCTTTAAAGCATTTATTTGTTTTGTTTTGTTATTGTCAAGGCGTTCCTGCCCAGGTAAAGCAAGACAGTACGCTAACCCTGGCATCTGTTCCTGTAAGCAGAACCAAAGAGCAGCCAGCAGCAGAGGACATGGATTCACTGCATGGACCAAACAGTTTTGTTATGGCACAAGGTAACTCCTTCTTTCATTCATTCATTCCTTCTTCCCCTCCATTCTTCCTTCCCCTTTTCCATTCCTCCTCTCTCTGCAAGGCGATAGTGACTTTTTCCTTTCAGTTATTGATGAATAGATGCTCACAGTTGCCTCTGTAGATGTGAAAATAGGATTTTCCCACATCACCTTCCTAAATGTCACCACACAACATTTCTCAGGTTACATAAAAAGACATGAGCTGGAACCTAATGGAAACCGTCACATTCATATGGGATTTTTGGCACCTTCTCCGGTAAACATTAATAAAATGTGAAAAAGTATCCAAAGTTGAGAAATTAATTTGGAGATTCACTGGCGTCAATACCGATGCTAGTCAACTACCATTTACCAAAAGGGCAGCAGCATTGTCCGATAACATTTATTAAGTTTTGGGTGAGGAGAGAGCGATCTCTAGATTGGCTCCCTAGATTATTCCTGGGTCTGATCTGGTGAAGAGGTTATCTGCTTATTAGAAGATTTTTGGGGGGAATTATTAATCTGCTGAAATACCCAATGAAGACCAATTCTTAGTAACTCAAATCATCCAAGCATTTTCAGGGAGTCATTGGGGATGGTGATGCGGTAGGCAGGAGGGATCTTAGGTAGCAGTCAGTCTTACAACAAATAGAAAGAAGCCTCTGACTGAAGACTGTTACTGTATCACAGTCTCATCACTGTTGTGAAAGCTAACAGCTCAATATCCAAGTCTTGGTTACACCATCAGTTGTTTCCAAGCTCTGCTTATCTACCTCATTTGCTTTTGCCGCTCCTCTATAAATCCTCTCTTTTTCTGGCCATATAGTTGGAAAGTTGGGCACAGAGATGTTGGAGTCGGGAATATGCCCATTGTTATCGATAGTAGAGATGGTTTGAATTTCCTTCTTCTTGCTATGCTCTTTCGTTCTGCTCTGAATCCAAGAAGCAGAACAAAACTGTAGTTAATTTAATAGTTTAGCTACTTTGATTTAAGTATTCCTAACAATTTGGAAAATCAAATTCATTAAGGTATCCGAGATCCAAAAGATCATTGTAGTTTAAAACTTCTGGAAAAACTGTAATGTCCAAAAAACAAAACAACCTTGAGATTTTTGCTGAAGAAAAAGTCTTAAATTTGTCTGTCTAAAACTGCGGCCTTAAAATGTCTTAAATTAATTTGAAAAATGTCCGTAGATTGGACAGTTGATGTTAATTGCAGATCTTAAATTTTGTCGTGCCAGAATATTTAATCTAGTTATTTTTTTCCTCACTGGACTTTTTACTCAGGCAAAATCTGAGTCGCCTGCAAAAGTTACCGGCAGCCTAGCTTTTAACACACCGTGGCTAGCTAGCTAGCTAATTTGTTTTACCTCTATCACGGACAAAGCCGTGTTCACAGTTTTTGATATATACTTAATTGTTATACAGCAATTTTCCCCAACCATGGTGGATCCTGTTAAGGAAGAATATTCTAAATTGGTTAACTTTGAAAAAAGTTTGGCTCTCTCTTCCTCTGGATCCCAGGTCCTCTCGGCGAGCCACGTGTGGCCACAAGGAAAACAACAATGCGTGTTGACGTCACAGAATTACAGAGTTTAATCCAATATAAGACAATGCATAAACTTAGAAGTAAGACAACGCACAAACTTACACCAGAAACTGCAGAACAACGGAGACATACATTCATTTACCTGACATAAATGGAAAGAAGAAGAAAAGCAAAGACGTCTTTGGAGAATTGCAAGAGCAAATCTAATGTGTTACTTCTGTGTAGAAAGTTTTATAGTAAAAGGCGTATTCTTATTGTTAATTTATTCAAATAAGGCGTATCTTTGCTCATCCAACCAGAAGCTATCTCTGACCCTCTATCTGAAGCCAGAAACCCCTGCCGTGTTTACTGCTTTTCACAGATGAGTGTGAAAAGCTAGAACTTCTACTGTATTGTTTTCCCACACAGACAAAAGGCAGTTCAAACGATCCTAGTAAACCATCTGCTGTAACATAAAGGTCAATAGGCCAGAATACATTACTAATTTCAAACCACAATTAGGCCATTTGAATCAAGACATGTTAAGTTTTAAAATTAGCTTATTTTAAATTTATTTTCTCAACAATCCTCCTGTCTTTCTTTCTTTTTTTCTTTTTTGTCTATTTTGGAGTTGCTGAAACTTCCAGATACCCTGACTTCGAGGTAAATGAGCAATTTCCTCTATCACACATTGCTCTGTCTGTACCTCTGCACTACCTGTAGAGGGAGCATTTTCCTTTGGTATTAACCATAAAGAAAAGTTTCTGGTATTATAAGCGCCACTATTTACTCTAAAACCTATTATTAGTAGTTTGATTTATTTATGAGCACACACACAAAAAAAAAAAAAACCTGATGGGCAGAGTGCTGTTTTCATTTATAGATGAAAAATAATTAGTTTTTTTGCCTCACTTATGATTGGAAGCGCTAAGCTAAAAAGTGATTCTTAATAATCACAGCCTGCATTCAAAGACCAGGATCAATTCATAAGCTCAAGCTGAGGAAACACAAACAGCAGAGTCCCTGACTCATAGCGCTGCTTCGGGCAGCTGGGGAGGAGAGGAGAACAAACCATACTGTTGACATCAAGAAGCCAGTG